ATGTCCTAAGACACGAAACGATCGGTTTGTGCCAGAAACCGAACAGTATTTATATCATTTTTTACCTCTAATACACCACTATGTCCAACTGCTTTGAGCGCACACACGGCATCCGGTGCGTGAGGTGTGTACGCGATCTGGCGTAGTTTACGCAAGCGCCGGAAGTGATCTCTCGCGCGTATACGTCACTCATTGTTTACACAGTGCACAAACATTGTAGGTACGACGGCTAATCAAAATGGTACTTGGTTACTTGCACTTATCCAGATTGTTCAAACCGACTTAAAACTAAAAGATTACGTTCTCTCGCGCGGACTCATTCGGGAGTGGTGACTTCCCACGTATTCCCAACTTCTGAGCCTGCTCGCCTGAAGTTATGGTTGATTGCTCTTCGGCTGGATATCAACACACACCCGTTAACGTAAACTACGCCAGAGCGCGTACACACCTCACGCACCGGATGCCGTGCGCGCTCAAAGAGAGTTGGACATAGTGGTGTATTAGGGGTAAAAAATTATATAAATACCAAAACACAACTCTAAAGACCTCTTATGTTAGAATAAGACGTTTAAATATATTTTAAAAACGACACTTTTTGCTCGGAAGACCTATCGTTTCATATCGTCACGTGATCACGATAATATCAAAACAGTTTTGCTATCACGATACCACGGTATTAATAATATCGTTACATCCCTAATAAGTATAATTATGTAACATTTCAATTATTTACCTATTTAATTCTGCATTATTAAAAAATGTGTTTTGTATATTTTAAACAAGTTATATACAATTTCTGCAGCGTTTATAGACGGCCTGTACCACATGGATGAGAAGTCCGTGACCGGCATCATCGTTGGCGTGTGTATCGCGCTGTCCTGCATCTTCCTCTGCATCTTCATCCTCCTCACCAAGAGCACAACACAGTGAGGCTTCAGCATCATCATCATCATCACTCTGTGTTTGCAGAAACATAGACAACTAAACTAGATGGAAAATAAACGAGGCTGATGTCGTTGACTTGTAGCCACAATCTAAAACGATGTTTTCTCTCAGCAGGAAGTCAGCTTCCTCAAAGATGATTGGACAGGTTAGGAATGATGTCATGCGCAGTGCTGCGTCATCAGCCAATCAGCAGCAGGCGGAGAACGCAGCGGTCCTGCTGCCGATGACGAGGACGCACTTCATTGATGCCAAAGTAAGAGTCTGTTTATTATGACATTATTTAGCAACATGCAATGCAATGACGTGCAAAGATTAGGAATAAATTACTATTTAAATATTTTAAAAAATATATTCTTTTATTTTATTTATTATTATTTTTTTTTACAAAATGAGGTTTAAAATACATGCTATTTGTTTTCAGGGAGGAACAAATTTAATAATAAACCACGCCGGACCAATAATGAGTGACGCTCAGAGCAAACTGAAAAAATGGAGCATGCTTAATAATAATCAGAAGTCTAATGGACATAAAAGCAAGGTGAGTAACAGAGATAAATGCTTTTAGCAATTGTTTTAATTCTGTGTATCTTTATCAAAGTCAAATTTGCATTACGAGTCAAGTCATGAAACGCTTAGCTTTTTTATTTTTTCAGTTTTCATTTGAATTTGTGCTTTTTTCAATTTTATTTTATTTTTTAATATGACTATTTAGGTTTAATTTATTTTATTTCAGTTTTAGTTCCATTTGAGGTTTTATTTATTTCCTAAATAAATAAAAAATAAAATAATATGTATATATTTATAAGTTATAAATAATATTTATAATTTAATTTATTTCACCTCTATTGTAACAAAAATGTTGTGTTGCTTAAGTATCATTAAGATACTATTATAGTTTTCACTTATAGTCCTCATTTTAAAGATTTTAGTTTAAATATTTAGTAATTTTGTTGAGAGTTTTTTTCCCCTATATATAATTTTATTCGTTTTATTTCCAGTTTTAACTTTTATTTTATTTAACATTTTAGTAATTTTGTTGTGTGTTCGTCATATTGATTCATTTTTGTTTTTTCTTTAACACGTCTATAAGTCTTTATTCATTTTTATTACCAGTTTTCATTTTAATTTAGGTTAAAGTTTGAGTATTTACATCATATTTATTGGTTTCTGTTTCATTTAAATGTGATTTTTATTAATTTTAATTTTTAGTTATTTTAGTACTAACTAAAGTTAAACTAAATAAAAATGAGCTAAAATTAAATAAATTTAAGTTTTTTGTGTTTGATTTTATTTCAGTGAACATTTATTTTATACGTTCTAAAGTTGTTGTTTTTTTCATTTTAGTAAACTAGAACTATTATAAAAATATTATTGTTTGCATAATATATGTGTGTGTACTTATGTATATATAAATACAAACATGTATATATGTAAGAAAAATATGTTACGTTTATACATTTAAAATATTAATATATCATATCAATTATATGAATATAAATAAATACATGGAAATATTTTCTAAATATATACTGTATGTGTGTGTATTTATACATAGACAATAAATACACACAGTACACACACATATATTATGTAAACAAAAACTTGTATTTTGGATGCGATTAATCGCGATTAATCGTTTGACGGCACTAATAATCGTTTTAATATTTTGTCAGGTTTTGCTGACCATGAGCTCTGATGTTTGTATTGGACAGATCGAGGATCCCGCTGGTCTTTACGAAGTGGGGAAGACGGTTCTGCGTTACGAAGACGAGCAGTCGCGAGTCTATTGTCCTCTCGGGGAGTCGGAGAGTTCGCAGACCAGCGGCGCAGACTCGGGAAACTTCTCTCACGATGAGACGGAAACCGCCGATCCTAACAGAGCCAACGACGGCGAGCCGTTTTCGAACGAATGCATCGCGAGCGTCTGCGCGCAAATTCCAGGCGAAACGCCACCGAAATCTCCCTCCCGCCTTCAGTTCGCCACGCTTTAACTGGCCTGTCAGTCATGCAAGTGGGCGTGGCCTGTCAGTCATGCAAGTGGGCGTGGCCTGTGATTCCAGGGCCTATAAATAGAGTTCGCAGCCTTTCCTCAGGATCAGATCAGCGGTCTCAAATCTCAACGCTTTGAGAGTTTGAATAGCTTTACGAAGTCACAGACGCTCTGTTGGCTTTGACAAACTTGCACAGCCTTTCCTAATAACTTTCCCTTCCCGGCCGGACCTGCCCCGTGAAGCTCACAACGTCCCAAAGATGAAGGTCCCGGAGCGGTTTAAACCCGTTCATGAGCCGTTTCAGATGAATGTGTTTCCTATCAGCGCCGATGAATGTTTTGAAGAACGCCTGATGTGCTTTACGCAGACGGACGAGCGTTTTCTGTTTGTTCGTGACAGAGACGGAGTTTTGTTCTGCTGTCTCTCTACCTCATATTTCTGATGACGCTCGTCCTCAATCTCAATCTCTTTTATTGTTTTGATATGAAAACTGAACGCGTTTGACGTACTGTATATAATCCAAAGAGTCCAATCGTCTAATGAAAATGGGTGGCACTTTACATCAAGGTTTCATTTGGTAACTAAATTAGTTAACATGAACTAGCAATGAACAATAATTCAACAGCATTTATTAATCTACTTTTACTTTTGGTTTTTAAATTAAACGTTGTATAGCATTAGTTAATGAACTTTGAACAAACACGAACAAACTACGTTAAAAAACAATTCAGAACTTGCTAGTACATTTCACAAATAATGACTGAAATTACATTTTCTTGTAGCTTTTTAAATTTTAATTTATTTGTAATTTTGTTATTTACTTTTGTCAATTTTATTATTATATATATATTTTTTTTTAAATATTACTATTTAGGTTTAATAAATGTTTCTAATTAATGCTAACTGCATTTCTAATCATTACAATGAAAAAAATACTTAGAAACAATTCAGAAATTGCTTGTAAACTTCACAAATAACTACAAATAACTACAAAAAATGGCTAGTAACACATTGAATTACATTTTTTTTAAAGTAGAAAGACTGAAATAGTATTTTCTTGTAGCCTTTTATATATATATTTTTTTTTAATTAATTTTGTTATTTTATTTTGTCAATTTTAAAAAAAAATTAAAATTACCGTTTAGTTTTAATTTATTTTTATTTCAGATTTAGTTCAGTTTTAGTTTTTTATTAATTTACGGCGAGTGATTTCATAGCTTAAATGTATTTTAACCATTTCTAAATTCTAAAATAAATAAACATTTCTAGTAAATTTCACAAATTATTACAAAGAAATGACAAGTAACAGTGAATTAAACATAAAACATTTAAGTAGAATAAAATCCAATAAAATTAAAATTTCGTATTCCAACAATCTTTGTTTTATTCACAAATTTGAATTTTTTTTTACAGTGTAGCATTAACAAGGATTAATAAATGCTTTAAATATATATATATATATATATATTGCTTATAGTTCATGCTAGCTAATGCATCAACGAGTGAGACCTGATTGAAAAGTGTTTCCAGAAAATATTTCAGTTTTTTCATTCTTTTCTAGTTTAATATGAGAAATTCTGACTTTGTACAAATGGGTTTTGCTAATTTCGTTGTGTCCTTTTACAGAAATCCTAAATCTTTCCAGGTTTAATTGAAAACAATAGTGATCTCAGACTTTAGACCTCACAGCGTATATTTGTGTTCCACTTAAAGATACAAAAATAAGATGACATTAACAGCGGAGGTGCCTCCGGTTATGAAAGCTGCTTTAAAAACAGACGAGTGAATCTCAGACCTCAGTGTAAACGTGTTTGATTCACTTCTTCATTCTTGTGTTGAACTACCTCCGCTTGCTGCTTATTTGTGATGTTGCGCACGGTTTGCGTTTTGAGGATTCAGTTCTGATTCGTTTTGGTTGCGCTTATAATTTGACTCTTGCTTCTTAAAGGAAAAGTTCACTCAAAAATTAGCATTTGCTGAAAATGCGCTCACCCTCAGGCCATCTGAGATGAGTTTGTGTCTTCATCAGATTTGGAGAAATCCAGCATTGCATCAGTGTCTCAGCAATGGAAGTGAATGGGTGCCGTCAGAATGAGAGTCCAAACAGCTGATAAAAACATCACAATAATCCACTCCAGTCCATCAGTTAACATCTGGAGAAGACAAAAGCTGAAACAAATCCAGCATTAAGACGTTTATAGCTAAAATACGAGTCTATAATAACACTTCCTCCAGTGAAAAAGTGGTCTGAATCAGGAGAGAAATCTGCACAGTCCAAAGGCTGGATTTTGATTAATTATTATGAATTATGGACTCGCACTTTAGATGTAAGTGACAATTAGAAGTTAAAAACATCTTAATGCTGGATTTGTTTCAGCTTCTGTCTTCTCCAGAAGTTAACTGATGGACTGGAGTGTATTACTGTGATGTTTTTATCAGCTGTTTGGACTCTCATTCTGACGGCACCCATCCACTTCCATTGGTGAGCGAGTGATGCAATGCTGCATTCCTCCAAATCTGTTCCAAAGAACAAACAAACTCATCCACATCTTGGATTTTTGAGGGACGAGGGATGCTTTCCGTCTCTTGTTTTTGTAAGGAAGGCGAATAAGTGAAAAAAATAACCCAAAGGATAAAAATAAAATAGCTTTATAAGATGTCGACGGATTTTTGCAATATATCAGATGCAAAGAGTGAAATGAGAAATTATACAACGATGCCAAAATGCTGTAACCTCCAAAGATAGATGCTATATATTCCTGTATATTTGAAAGTGCGTTCATTGGTGTAGCCAAGCTTTCGTTCGTTCTAGTTAAAGCGCTCAGATTTTTGGGTTTTTCTTTGCTACTTTTTCCATTTTAGATGGTAGTGGCACAGGTTTGGTGACGGACGCTAGAATCCAAAGAGATGTTTGCTTCTTTCGTTGGGTTGGAGACGGGAGATCTCGAGCGGACGGATATATGAGAATGACTGAGTGTTTGTATGAAGTGTGATTGTGATTTGTGGAAAATATAATCAAGAGTTTCGAAACAACCCTTTCGATTGAAGCGGCACGAAATCATCATTTCAGAACACGAATAAAAAACCAAAGATCGATACGGTCGCCCGTGTAGACTTGACATTGTGTAATTGGTTTGCTTTTTTTGTAAAGATGCATGTGTTTTGACTGCGGTTCCCTCATCACGCATCCGCATAAACCTTCAGAAAACCCCAGACAAGTCTTGTGTTGAACATGCCAATGTGAATTTACTCCTGAAAACTGATCACAAAGACTTTGAATTTTAGGGCTGTGAAATGCTTTTCTTTGCTGTTTTAATGATTCTTCTGAACTGGTCATACGTGTGCATGTGTTTATGTTTCGGTTGTTTGCTAAATCCGAACGCATTTCTCTGTGAATGTGCCAAAGAGATATCCAGCTTTATATTTCAGAGGGTCTGAATTCAAACAGCGCTCAGGAACTTTAATGGACATTTCCTTTCTGTTTGATTTATTATCACCCGTATTATTATTTAAGCCCCTCGTGTTGAGCATGTTTGATTCTGTTACGTGCCAAAAAGCGGTCAGAACGATGCACAGTGTAATAAAATATTTCTCAAAACATATTTTCCTTCGGCTCTTGGATTTCCTTCACAGAACTTACTGCACACACGGATGTGAATCATTTAGTTTTAGTGATACACTAGAAAAACATTCTCAATGAATTTAATGTCAGAGATTTAATCAGGGATGTCACTTAGGTAGACTAATATTATATTTAATACATTTAGTATAAAATGTAATACATTTATGTGTGTGTGTGTGTGTGTGTGTGTGTGTGTGTGTATGTGTATATATATGTGTGTGTATGTGTATATATATGTGTGTGTATGTGTATATATATGTGTGTGTATGTGTATATATATGTGTGTGTATGTGTATATATATGTGTGTGTATGTGTATATATATGTGTGTGTATGTGTATATATATGTGTGTGTATGTGTATATATATGTGTGTGTATGTGTATATATATGTGTGTGTATGTGTATATATATGTGTGTGTATGTGTATATATATGTGTGTGTATGTGTATATATATGTGTGTGTATGTGTATATATATGTGTGTGTATGTGTATATATATGTGTGTGTATGTGTATATATATGTGTGTGTATGTGTATATATATGTGTGTGTATGTGTATATATATGTGTGTGTATGTGTATATATATGTGTGTGTATGTGTATATATATGTGTGTGTATGTGTATATATATGTGTGTGTATGTGTATATATATGTGTGTGTATGTGTATATATATGTGTGTGTATGTGTATATATATGTGTGTGTATGTGTATATATATGTGTGTGTATGTGTATATATATGTGTGTGTATGTGTATATATATGTGTGTGTATGTGTATATATATGTGTGTGTATGTGTATATATATGTGTGTGTATGTGTATATATATGTGTGTGTATGTGTATATATATGTGTGTGTATGTGTATATATATGTGTGTGTATGTGTATATATATGTGTGTGTATGTGTATATATATGTGTGTGTATGTGTATATATATGTGTGTGTATGTGTATATATATGTGTGTGTATGTGTATATATATGTGTGTGTATGTGTATATATATGTGTGTGTATGTGTATATATATGTGTGTGTATGTGTATATATATGTGTGTGTATGTGTATATATATGTGTGTGTATGTGTATATATATGTGTGTGTATGTGTATATATATGTGTGTGTATGTGTATATATATGTGTGTGTATGTGTATATATATGTGTGTGTATGTGTATATATATGTGTGTGTATGTGTATATATATGTGTGTGTATGTGTATATATATGTGTGTGTATGTGTATATATATGTGTGTGTATGTGTATATATATGTGTGTGTATGTGTATATATATGTGTGTGTATGTGTATATATATGTGTGTGTATGTGTATATATATGTGTGTGTATGTGTATATATATGTGTGTGTATGTGTATATATATGTGTGTGTATGTGTATATATATGTGTGTGTATGTGTATATATATGTGTGTGTATGTGTATATATATGTGTGTGTATGTGTATATATATGTGTGTGTATGTGTATATATATGTGTGTGTATGTGTATATATATGTGTGTGTATGTGTATATATATGTGTGTGTATGTGTATATATATGTGTGTGTATGTGTATATATATGTGTGTGTATGTGTATATATATGTGTGTGTATGTGTATATATATGTGTGTGTATGTGTATATATATGTGTGTGTATGTGTATATATATGTGTGTGTATGTGTATATATATGTGTGTGTATGTGTATATATATGTGTGTGTATGTGTATATATATGTGTGTGTATGTGTATATATATGTGTGTGTATGTGTATATATATGTGTGTGTATGTGTATATATATGTGTGTGTATGTGTATATATATGTGTGTGTATGTGTATATATATGTGTGTGTATGTGTATATATATGTGTGTGTATGTGTATATATATGTGTGTGTATGTGTATATATATGTGTGTGTATGTGTATATATATGTGTGTGTATGTGTATATATATGTGTGTGTATGTGTATATATATGTGTGTGTATGTGTATATATATGTGTGTGTATGTGTATATATATGTGTGTGTATGTGTATATATATGTGTGTGTATGTGTATATATATGTGTGTGTATGTGTATATATATGTGTGTGTATGTGTATATATATGTGTGTGTATGTGTATATATATGTGTGTGTATGTGTATATATATGTGTGTGTATGTGTATATATATGTGTGTGTATGTGTATATATATGTGTGTGTATGTGTATATATATGTGTGTGTATGTGTATATATATGTGTGTGTATGTGTATATATATGTGTGTGTATGTGTATATATATGTGTGTGTATGTGTATATATATGTGTGTGTATGTGTATATATATGTGTGTGTATGTGTATATATATGTGTGTGTATGTGTATATATATGTGTGTGTATGTGTATATATATGTGTGTGTATGTGTATATATATGTGTGTGTATGTGTATATATATGTGTGTGTATGTGTATATATATGTGTGTGTATGTGTATATATATGTGTGTGTATGTGTATATATATGTGTGTGTATGTGTATATATATGTGTGTGTATGTGTATATATATGTGTGTGTATGTGTATATATATGTGTGTGTATGTGTATATATATGTGTGTGTATGTGTATATATATGTGTGTGTATGTGTATATATATGTGTGTGTATGTGTATATATATGTGTGTGTATGTGTATATATATGTGTGTGTATGTGTATATATATGTGTGTGTATGTGTATATATATGTGTGTGTATGTGTATATATATGTGTGTGTATGTGTATATATATGTGTGTGTATGTGTATATATATGTGTGTGTATGTGTATATATATGTGTGTGTATGTGTATATATATGTGTGTGTATGTGTATATATATGTGTGTGTATGTGTATATATATGTGTGTGTATGTGTATATATATGTGTGTGTATGTGTATATATATGTGTGTGTATGTGTATATATATGTGTGTGTATGTGTATATATATGTGTGTGTATGTGTATATATATGTGTGTGTATGTGTATATATATGTGTGTGTATGTGTATATATATGTGTGTGTATGTGTATATATATGTGTGTGTATGTGTATATATATGTGTGTGTATGTGTATATATATGTGTGTGTATGTGTATATATATGTGTGTGTATGTGTATATATATGTGTGTGTATGTGTATATATATGTGTGTGTATGTGTATATATATGTGTGTGTATGTGTATATATATGTGTGTGTATGTGTATATATATGTGTGTGTATGTGTATATATATGTGTGTGTATGTGTATATATATGTGTGTGTATGTGTATATATATGTGTGTGTATGTGTATATATATGTGTGTGTATGTGTATATATATGTGTGTGTATGTGTATATATATGTGTGTGTATGTGTATATATATGTGTGTGTATGTGTATATATATGTGTGTGTATGTGTATATATATGTGTGTGTATGTGTATATATATGTGTGTGTATGTGTATATATATGTGTGTGTATGTGTATATATATGTGTGTGTATGTGTATATATATGTGTGTGTATGTGTATATATATGTGTGTGTATGTGTATATATATGTGTGTGTATGTGTATATATATGTGTGTGTATGTGTATATATATGTGTGTGTATGTGTATATATATGTGTGTGTATGTGTATATATATGTGTGTGTATGTGTATATATATGTGTGTGTATGTGTATATATATGTGTGTGTATGTGTATATATATGTGTGTGTATGTGTATATATATGTGTGTGTATGTGTATATATATGTGTGTGTATGTGTATATATATGTGTGTGTATGTGTATATATATGTGTGTGTATGTGTATATATATGTGTGTGTATGTGTATATATATGTGTGTGTATGTGTATATATATGTGTGTGTATGTGTATATATATGTGTGTGTATGTGTATATATATGTGTGTGTATGTGTATATATATGTGTGTGTATGTGTATATATATGTGTGTGTATGTGTATATATATGTGTGTGTATGTGTATATATATGTGTGTGTATGTGTATATATATGTGTGTGTATGTGTATATATATGTGTGTGTATGTGTATATATATGTGTGTGTATGTGTATATATATGTGTGTGTATGTGTATATATATGTGTGTGTATGTGTATATATATGTGTGTGTATGTGTATATATATGTGTGTGTATGTGTATATATATGTGTGTGTATGTGTATATATATGTGTGTGTATGTGTATATATATGTGTGTGTATGTGTATATATATGTGTGTGTATGTGTATATATATGTGTGTGTATGTGTATATATATGTGTGTGTATGTGTATATATATGTGTGTGTATGTGTATATATATGTGTGTGTGTGTGTGTGTGTATATGTGTGTGTGAGTGTGTGTGTGTGTGTGTGTGTGTGTGTGTGTGCATACATATACAGTATATATATATATATAAATCAAAATTATTTATTCAATAACTATTATTATTTAAACTAAAACTATTATAATAAAACAATTATTAATTAAAATGAACTCATATTATTTACAACCTTCTTGATTTATATATTACAAAATTATTTATTTAATAACTTAAATATTTCTTAACGATTTTAATAATTTAAATAACTTGAATTATTTACTTTACAAATATGATTTATTTATGTATTCCAAATGTATTTATTTAATGACTAAATTATTAATTATTTCCATAACTAAAATATTAACTTAATTTACAAATGTGTGATTTTTGTAAATATGAAATGTTTTCATTTATTTAATAATTAAATTGTTTATTAATTATTTTAATAAATATTAATGTATATATTATTTATTTCACGCATTATTATTATTTTAAATTAATTATATATATATATATATATATAAAGTCGGTCATGACTCTCCGCGCCGCTCGGTGGCGGCAAAGCCTGTGGTCTGCGTGATGACGTCATGCGGCGGAAGCGGAAACGAGCCTTCTCTTCTCCGCCAGTGTTCGCAGCGCAGCGGCACATGTGCGAGCGAGATCATAATAATTGATCAAAATGCGCATCGAGAAGTGTTATTTCTGCTCGGCTCCGGTGTATCCGGGACACGGAATGATGTTTGTGCGCAACGACTGTAAGGTAAAGACTCTGCTTTGCGTGCTGAGTGAAATAGAGCTGTTTTTGAGTGAGTCCCGTGTTCGCGTGCGTCCTTTCTACTGAGAATAGCAACCTGGGGATTCAAACATGTAAAAAAATTAATTACTACATTATTTATTCCAATTGATTATAGAGGGGAAAAAAGAAAAGGAAAAATATATATCTATCTCAAAGTGTGTATATAAAATATATAATTTAATAAAAACCATGTTACATGTAAAAAAACAACATAAAATCAATCAATATAAAATCTAAATATAATGGTATTACCATGCTATATTCCTAAAGTAGTTTGGTAAAATCATCTTAGGTGCGAAATATGTGTTATGTATCATCATATGTCCAAAAAAATAAAACATGTTAGTAGTATTATGGTAGTTTTGTCATATATTTTGTTTGTGTGGGCATATATCAGTGTGAGTCCTGACGTGTGTGTGTGTGTTTGGAAGGTTTTCAGGTTCTGTCGGTCCAAATGCCACAAAAACTTCAAGAAGAAGCGAAACCCAAGAAAGACCAGATGGACTAAAGCGTTCAGGAAGTCAGCAGGCAAAGAGCTGACGCTGGTGAGAGACGCGAGACACACACACACACACACTGATTCAGCTGTTCATTCATCAAATAAAATACTACTTGTGTTCGTCAGGATAACGCACTGGAGTTTGAGAAGCGAAGAAATATTCCTGTCAACCATAACTAAAATATTAACTTAATTTACAAATGTGTGATTTTTGTAAATATGAAATGTTTTCATTTATTTAATAATTAAATTGTTTATTAATTATTTTAATAAATATTAATGTATATATTATTTATTTCACGCATTATTATTATTTTAAATTAATTATATATATATATATATATATAAAGTCGGTCATGACTCTCCGCGCCGCTCGGTGGCGGCAAAGCCTGTGGTCTGCGTGATGACGTCATGCGGCGGAAGCGGAAACGAGCCTTCTCTTCTCCGCCAGTGTTCGCAGCGCAGCGGCACATGTGCGAGCGAGATCATAATAATTGATCAAAATGCGCATCGAGAAGTGTTATTTCTGCTCGGCTCCGGTGTATCCGGGACACGGAATGATGTTTGTGCGCAACGACTGTAAGGTAAAGACTCTGCTTTGCGTGCTGAGTGAAATAGAGCTGTTTTTGAGTGAGTCCCGTGTTCGCGTGCGTCCTTTCTACTGAGAATAGCAACCTGGGGATTCAAACATGTAAAAAAATTAATTACTACATTATTTATTCCAATTGATTATAGAGGGGAAAAAAGAAAAGGAAAAATATATATCTATCTCAAAGTGTGTATATAAAATATATAATTTAATAAAAACCATGTTACATGTAAAAAAACAACATAAAATCAATCAATATAAAATCTAAATAAATGTAAATATAATGGTATTACCATGCTATATTCCTAAAGTAGTTTGGTAAAATCATCTTAGGTGCGAAATATGTGTTATGTATCATATGTCCAAAAAAATAAAACATGTTAGTAGTATTATGGTAGTTTTGTCATATATTTTGTTTGTGTGGGCATATATCAGTGTGAGTCCTGACGTGTGTGTGTGTGTTTGGAAGGTTTTCAGGTTCTGTCGGTCCAAATGCCACAAAAACTTCAAGAAGAAGCGAAACCCAAGAAAGACCAGATGGACTAAAGCGTTCAGGAAGTCAGCAGGCAAAGAGCTGACGCTGGTGAGAGACGCGAGACACACACACACACACACTGATTCAGCTGTTCATTCATCAAATAAAATACTACTTGTGTTCGTCAGGATAACGCACTGGAGTTTGAGAAGCGAAGAAATATTCCTGTCAAATACAACAGAGAGCTCTGGAGCAAGACCAGTGAGTGCACTCACCCTCACACACACACACTCTCACACACA